GTTTGTAAACACAACATTCAAAGATGACTTCCTTTTGGATGAGTGTTATGATCTGGTCCTACGCACTGTAATGCATAGATTGTATAAATAAAAAGGAAATAGTCTCTGTGACGTCACCCATATGATTTCAAGAGATTCGCCATCTCACTCCGCTGATTCCCAAAAATGGGCAAATATGTGGAGTAAATGGACTGTACTAATTCTAGTCTTCCAACCACTCAAAGTGCTGTAAAATACATGGCACGTTTACGTATTATACAATGATGGCAAAGGTCATTGCAAACAGAAACTAATTCATTCATTCACACTCATACACCGATACACAGCAATTTGGGGTTGAGTATTTTGCTCAATGACACTTCGACATGCAGCGGGGGGAGCCGGTGATCAGATTGCCAATCTTCTGATTAGTGGATGACCTGCACTACCTCCTGAGCTACTATAGAGAACAAAGCAGTTTTTTGTACCAGGCTGTAAACAAGTTTATTTCTGCGGTAAAGTTGGCCATTTTAATGTGGGGCCTTATAGAGATTGACTGACTGCTGTAGCCAGCCTCAAGTGACCGTTCAAGGAACTACAGTTTTTGTTTTCATCAGTCTTCGTTACTTCTGTGTTGGCTTCACTTGGCAGCCATGGAAGTTGCTGGCTGTTATTAGCTGGGTGTTTCACACCCACTGCCCAAAGGTTGATGCCCAGAAACATCCTGAACACAGCAAAATAAGAAAATAGTACAGGCAGACGGCAGCGCATCCTAGCCTCTGGTGTAAAAAGCCTGGCCCACCTCCCAATTACCCCAGTGGGGATTAATAAAGTATATCTTATTCAGTAGAATAACTGTAGCATGTACTTTACTGAAAGAAATGTTGTTAGTGAACATAATGCAGAAAGTATTCATATTTTTTTGGGGGAAAAAAAAAATACTTGAATACGTATGTAATGTCTAATGTAATATTGTCTGTTTTATTGCTGTACCATTAAAAGAGACTTACCTGGTTAAATAAAGGAAGTGAAAAGAAACACAAACACTTGCGGTCTTGCAAAATAGCAAAATGTCAGAGATTTGGAAGCATTTTATCATACATAAACCTGCCAACAACAGGTTTATGGTGTGAATCTAACATGAGTATAACAGCAGCAACCAAGGTATCAACAAGTACTCAAAATAAATGACTTGTATAGCAGACTGCTTAAACACTTCCTTATTTAGCCTTTGTGTTTTGGCTCTAGTTATTTGAACATGCACCTCAGTGTAAAGCAATGCAAAATAAATAGTGAAGGTTGTTAGATTGGTGAGAAACAGAAAGTTAACAATCCAAGGCTCATTACAGAGTCAGCGTCAGGATCAAAACAAATACACGCTTTGCCTTTGGACTTCATTGTGGAGTGTTTTTCTGCCTCACATGGTTTTTTTTGCTAAAGAAATGAACTATAAGAAGTAACTCTAAAGACGTGCAGTGACTGAGACTTTGTTCTATTACTCCACACCAGTACTATATCGTCAACCACTTCACCTTGCACTCATCATCCAGACACGAAGTCCCTTTAACTGCTGACATCAATTGAGAAACGCTTGCAACTCAGCGTGCGATCAGTGGCGCCTTCATTTGCAGCTCGACACCACGCACCGTGCCTATAAAAGCTGATAATGTGATAATTAAAAGAGCTGACAGGCAAGAACTGTCAGCAAGACACCCTGATTTACCAACCTCTGCTATTTGCTATACCTCTCAAATTACAATGCTTCCACCCTTGATGTATGACACATAAAATATCAATTGAAATAATTAACTAGGTTAGAAGTGGTGTGAAAAAAAAAGGTGAAGGAGTCTCAGTGGAGGACATTTTGGATGAAAACCGTCCAAAAAAGCATCACAAGATCAGATTCAGGCCTAAAACAAGAATTTCTCGCAGACAAAAGATCACTGCCATGTCTCTGTCTCTCTCTCTTTCTTTCTCTCTCAACCACACCATGATTTATTACCTGAAAAGACAAGAGAACTAATTAGTGGAGTAATTAATTAATATAAATTTGCATATTTGCATTTGCAATTAGTGCAGTCAACTGATTAGTCTGAGATGGGGAGTTTGACTCATCAGATGCTGGTGTGTATGTGTATGTGAGTGTGTGTGTGTGTGTGCTGGACCAGAACGATCAGCAGACCAGCTGAGGCATTTTGGGGGGCCGGCAGTGATGAAGGGACTGTTTTTGTTTTTTATTATTATTATTCTTTTTATTATTATTATTATTCATGTGTCCATGTCTGTTTTTTTTGGTGTGTTCACGTACAGTACGTGTTTGTCAACGTGCACGCTTAGACACACTCACCTGTGAACACATGTTTGGTGCTCTGTCACACGTCAGGTTAAATGTATGCACACTCACCAGTGTGTGTACATGCTGCCATTGTCGCTGCTGAACCTGCTACCTTACCTTTGCATGGTCCTTCGTACTCTGAACCCATTATCAACACGCTGTGGCCGCTCTGCTGCCGGGGCCCACCCCGCTGATCGATGTCTTGTAATGTCCAATATAGAGAGATTGATAAGTTGCTTTAATTGATTCTCCTTGCAACAAGGTCATTCACAGGCATACGTTTGTGTGTGCACTTGTGTGTGTGTTCCACATAACTGAGGAGTGCATATACCCATATCGAGTGCCAGCTGTGCCCCAGTGTGGAGTTGGCAGTGTGCCACTGGGCCTTTTCCATGGGGTGTACTTAATGTCTACGGTCCTGAGGTACCAACACTGTGCACGCCCCCCTGGTATTCTCACACCATCCTCTGCATGTGAGGTGCCTGCTGGAATTTCTTAACCTAGTTTATATAGAAAAAATTCTCTGGTTGCTCAATTGTGATGATATGGTGATTTTCTCTAACCTTCTGAGGCAGCTGGACATGTGAGATCACGTGAGAATCCATCTTGCCAGGCTTCAATCAATTCATTTGTGGCTGGTATAGTGGTACTGGTACTGGCAGCTACAGGGTGGTTGCTAGGTGTGACGCGAAACAACAATGGTGCCTCCCATAGAGATGCTGCCAGTATCAGATATATCAGAACTGGAGAGTATTTCTTCATTGAAAAAAGAGCAAAATAAAGCCCTGAAGGCTTTTCTGGATGGAAAAGATGTTTTTGCTCCACCCCCAACTGGGTTCGATAAGAGTTTGACTCTGGTTCGTTGATCTGATTGGTTTAGGTTGGCCCATGTGAGACAGACGGTTCATCCAATCACCTACCGAGTAGTGAAGTGCCGAAGTGCCTTTCCTTTTCTCAAAAGTTGACAATGACTACTTCCCGGATGGTTCTGTGTAACATCGCAGTCAGGTTAGATTTTCTCTGTTTTAAAGTTTGGATAAAACAAGACATTAGAGGACGTCAACAAGGACATTTTTCAAAACTTTCTGACACTTTTAAGCCCAAAACGTTCAATCAATTAACTGAGAAAATGCAATTCAATAATGAAAACTAATCATTAGTTGAGTGTTTTGATTCTGATTGGCTGTACTTCCTCATCGTTTGGGTCCCACAAACCCAACAGCTGCAGTGTGTGTGTAAGAATAAAATTAATAATTTTAAAAAATCAACCAATTTTTTTTCCTTTAAACATTTTTTTGTTTTATCCAGACCTTATTAAATCAAATAACAACAACAAAAAACATAATTTGTAACTTCCTTCAGAATGACACAGAGTGTTTTCTGATGACCCTATCAGCAGGACCACAGCACTTATCAGTGCCTTCCAAAACTGCTGTTTGAAAACCAATGCTCTGGTTAATGTTCAGTTAGGTCTAAGCACAATAAAGACTTTGATATAGGGAAAGATTGTGGTTTGAGTAAAAACAAGTGCTTTGTTTAGGTTAGAAATACATTACTGCTAAAGGCCTTTGTCACTTGAACATAAGCAAATACTGTTTGTCATTTTTCTTGGGAGGTTTGTCTAACATAGAGAAGTACTGAAGTCGTAACGCTTCCCTTTGCTACAAACTGGGCTGAGGAAGGTGCTAAAGTTGTATATGCTGTGCATGAACAAATATAATTTTGTTTTGTTTGCAAAAAACAAGTCCCTCTTTGTGGTCCCTATTTAACCTCTAATAAACAAACTGTTACTTATTACAGATTTTAGAAGGTTTATTGCTGTGTGAAAAGTACAACAGAATAACAGATATAGAGTAAACAGAAGTCCATTATATTTAACCCTGTTTTACCAAAACAGAAGTCGTAGGTCATTTTCTGTCATCAGTTCAAAATCATGTTTATGAGAAATTTTCATTAAATCTGTATCAGTATCAAGATGAGAAAACAGTGATAGGTTTGGACGGTTTAAGAGGCAGGGGTATAGCCTATATTTCTATTATTTAAATAATCTTGGTCCCAACATGCCTTTTGTGTTCCTTGTTTGCAGCTCCCAGTCAGGAATGCATTTATAATTACTTTAATTTAATTAAATCAGTTAAATTAATGTAATTTTATTTATCTTGCTTTGAGGGGACGACTTTCCACCTCCACAGGCTTTACACTTAATGTGTGTATTTAACTGTGTATGTCTTATATCTTTCACAATATTAGATTTTTATGTGCAAATAAATCCAATTTATAGTTGATTTATTCTATTAAATCTGTCTGTCTGTCTGTTTGTCTGTCTCACCTGTTGAGGATGCCTGCAGACTCGCACATCCCTCGTTTTTTTTTCCTAGACAAAAAGACATTAATTCATCTTTCTTACAAGGGGAGATGCAGATATTAGTTGTTATCCCTCTCCGGTCTGTGTTTTTGACGGTAAACGCGGGCCTCCCGGTGCCCATTACCGGAGCTGCCAGATGATCGGTACGGAATGGAGGTCCCATGGGACACTGAACACGTGGTCTCGGCTGCCACAAGACGTCAGCGGCAGATGGCATGGGTACCCGCTGTTGGCATGAGTGTCATTCCTCAAAGAGAGAGGGAAGGGGTAGAGAGAGAGAGAGAGAGAGAGAGAGAGAGAGAGAGAGAGAGAGAGAGAGAGAGAGAGAGAGAGAGAGGTGGAGAGAGAAAGAGAGAGTGAGGGGGAGAGAAGAGGAAAAGGAAGAGCAGAACACAGCAGAGAAAGGAGGGTGCGCAGGTTTAAGCTTTTTCTTCTAATTTGTGGTTTGCAAGAGAAGAGAGCTGCACATTCCGAGGAGATATTTGGGAACATGCGAGGCGCACGCTGACCAGAAGTGAGTATTGTTAGTATTACTTATGCATTTGTTTACTTTTGGGTTTATTGCTTACAATGTGTGTGGTATGATTTTGTGCTAAAAAAAAAAAAAAAAAAAAAAAAAAAAAAAACACACAAAAGCACAAAACGAGGTTCTTTTCTCACAAGTCCAAAAATAATGAAGTTGAGTGTCTTTAAAAACGTAGCAAGCTGTGACATTGGCCTTGCTTGCCAATTTGTCCCTCTTCCTCTTGGGAGGAGCCATTCACAAGGTAATTAACTGACAACCTTCAAAAGACGTCGGTGTTGTACTGTCTTTAGAGTTCATGTTTTTTTTTTGCTTTGATTTTTTACAGGAAATATGTTGACACTGCCCTTCGAGGAATCTCATATGATGTGTGAGCCGCGGTTTGGTGCCAATTATACCCGTGAAAGCTTACCTGAGAGCCTGGAACAGGAGCGACAACACAACCCGGACAGGTCTAACTCAGACATGAGGGAGGACGAGGACTGCATCTCCGACCGAGAGGAGGACGAAAGGGAGGATGATCAGGATGAGGACGGGCTTCCTAAAAAGCGAGGCCCCCGGAAAAAGAAGCTAGGGAGGGAGCCGATGGACAGGTCCAAAGTACGGCGCCATGAAGCCAACGCCCGAGAGCGCAGCCGGATGCACGGCTTGAACGCCGCGCTGGAGAGCCTGCGCAAAGTTGTGCCGTGCTACTCTAAAACTCAAAAACTGTCCAAGATTGAGACCCTTAGACTGGCTAAAAATTACATCTGGGCCCTGTCAGAGACTCTGAGTGCAGGGAAGAGACCGGACCTGCTCGCCTTCGTACAGACTTTGTGCAAAGGATTATCTCAGCCCACTACCAACTTGGTGGCCGGTTGTTTGCAGCTGAACGCGAGAAATTTCCTCACAGACCACAACGGGGAGGTCATGTTCTCTGGCAGATCGCCCTACGATGCCATGTACTCGTACCCCGGCTCAGACATGAACACGCCCCCCGGCCACAGCGGGAGCAGCTTGGACAGCAGCGCCAAGCCGTTCAGACACTACAGCTACAGCGGCGCGTACGAGCCCTACTACGAGAACCCCTCCCCAGAGAGCGGGAGCCCGCATTTTGACAGCCAGCTGAGCCCCCCGATGAACTTTAACGGGATTTTCTCCCTAAAACACGACGATCCGCCAGACTACGGCAAAAGCAGCCACTATGGCATGCGCTACTGCAGTGCGCCAGGGCGCACGGCTCTTGCGCACAACTCCATGTACCGAGTGTCCCAAGAGGCCCGTTTCCCCTACGATCTGCACGTCCGCAGCCAGTCCTTCCAAGCACAAGGGGAAGTTAATGGCTCTTTCCACAATTAATCAATCAGCTGGACAAAGTTCAAGTTTCAGAAGCGATGCAATTTCCCCCCACAGATGTCGAGAGTGGAACGAAATGGACTCCAGACACACTGATGCACTGCAAAATGCCCATTTTAACAACTCATTTTGTGTTCAATGTTCAGTTTTGTTTTTCTTTGAAACATAGTAAAAGTCTGCAAATTAGATGTAGATGATTTCACTAAATTCTGGCTCCGATAGACAGAAAAACAACTAAATTAAAGTGAAATTACTTCAGTCTGAAGGCAGATAGATCTTCTGCTTCATTTAAAGAAAATTAAGATTTAATGGCTCACTGCCACCCATTTGTTTCCAGTGGAAAACCACAAATATAGAAGAATTCGTTAAATATGGAGGTTTTAAGCAGATTGTGTTCAGTTTAAGTGCTCTGTATTTGTTAATGGCTGTACTGCAGATGTCGGTCATGATATAAGTTACATAAAGCTGATCTAGTGGACAGGTAATTCGATTTTTCTGGTTATTTAATTAGGGTCACAACAGTCAGTTAAAATTGTTTTCCTGGCGAAATAAAAATCAGATTAATGAAACAAACGGGGAAGAAGAATTTAAAGTTTCACTTCATCAGGGAAGTTTGCTGAGACATGATTGGAGTTCAGAGATTCAGTCTGTTAGCAATAAAGGTCAATTGAGCTATGCAAGGCAGCCAAATGCAATCTTTGCTTATAAAAAATGATATATGTATATTTCCTCTCACAGGGCGTTTCTCATAATCTAATACCTAATTAAAATGATGACAATTACATAAAATTAATTATTTAAAAAAATGTTTGGAGACGTGCATGTGTTTAGGAGACCTGGTGATGATGTCATCTGAATTGGTCCTATAAATACAGGAAGTTGTGGGGAAAAACTGAAAAACTAAAAAACTAAAAAACTAAATGCATTTGTATTTGGAGTTAATAGTGTGGTAACGAGGTGAATGTAAATTATTATTGTATTAATTTATTTAAGCTTATTTATTATAAGTCCGTCAATTTGAATGTGGATAATATATTATAAAAAAAACTATTGTAAAATTCAACAGTGTTACCTTTTATGTGAATTCCCATACAGTTAAAGTTTGTTTATGTCGCATTGTTGTATATTTCACTGCAGCTGAGAGTCGAGGACTGGAAGGAAAATCATTTTGTTTGAAGTGAACAAAACTATATGAATCCGAGACAACATGCCTTAAAAAAGAGATGATGACCATCAATATGCAACGAAATGACAGTTTTGGAGTTTGATGTGAACTTTTTACACTTCCTTGTTCTTGCTGAAGAGCAGCTGTGATGCACTTCATGTATTTCTGCACAATGTTGGTGACTGTACTCATAAATTATGTTGCTTTTGTAACTTTACCCGAATGACGAATGATTATTGGATTATATTTCTATTTTTTATTTCTCTCTCTCTCTCTCTCTCTCTCTCTCTCACACACACACACACACACACACACACACACACACACACACACACACACACACACACACACACTTACACGCACGCACACACTCTGAAAACTCGTTATGGATCGAAATATTCGTGAAGTAATGTGTTAATGTTTTGTGATGTGTTTGTCGCAATAAAATGAAGAGGCTGTGAGAGGCTTTATGTTGTAGCCCAGCTTCTCAGCTTTCTGTGAAAATGATCGACAGCAGGCAGACGGCAATTAAAAAAATGTTAGAAAAAATAAATCAAGATAAAAACGCCCCTAGGCGTACTTTTATTTATTTATTTATTTTTGAGAAATTGAATCCTTTAATAATCTTGCATAACCTCTGTGGTTATAGTGAAACAGTATAAGGCCTATTGTATGGAACAGACTTGAAGCAACATGAGTTTTAAATCGTCAAATTTAATTTTAATCAATACTAATTATTTAATATAACGATACAAATGTTTTATCTTCACTTAAATTCAGATTTTTAATTTAAACTGTTAATGTTAAGATATAAATCTTTTAAGCAAATGTTACACTGAGTTCTTAAACATACTTTAACTGAAGGAGGCTGTCGATGTAATTTGATTTAATTTCATCCGATCACTGACTGATCTGTGACATAAATGCCCACGAGGTGTTGGATGTCAGCCAGAGAGCGCAGACAACTGATCCCAGTCCTCCCAGTTAGGAGGGAAGTGGAACCGGTAATCCCTTGAGAGATGCAGCATCTCCTGTTAAGGGTGGTCACACTCTCTAAATGAACCAAAATAAAAGGTCTAAGAAATTCAATTAATTTGATCCGGATTCATATACGCACATATTATATTTTATTTGTGAGGTTAAGCGCTTTTTTTTTTTTTTTTTTTTTTTTTACTAACGTTTACAGGTTAGAGGTTGACAATAGGACTATTTTCATATAATCAGCGGGAGAAAGATCAGGCCGATGTGAATTACATTTTGTGGAGAAAGTCATTTACTTGTGTTCATATCGGTGGTTTATACATTTACTGTTATGTTAATATTAATGCATCTGCGTAAAATCATGGTGAAAACAGTTAATTCATACATTTTTATCCAGACTTCACTGGAAAAGTTGAAAGTGCGCGAGGTTTGGGGCATTTTAGCCCAGTAGCTTACTGTATCAGATTCTGATCATTTAAACATTTGGCAAGGTACAAGGTACCTACCTTTACCCAAGCCATAAATAAAATGTATCCTTAATTTTTTTTTAAAACAACACATGGGGCAAAAATCATATTGATATAAAGAAAAACTTAAAAAGAAAAAACGTATATACCCCCAAATTGTGACTGAGTTGGAGGCTACTTATACAAAAATGAAATGAAAGTTAACAAAATAAAACCCCAGGAAACAAAAAAAAACCTTAATAACTTAATAACCAGCACCTGTCTGTAATGAACCCTGACCCTTCTTGAAATTGTATGTGGGTTTCGATAGATATGTGAGAAAATACTGCAGGAGCTTACTGGTCTGTCGGTTCCTGTGTATTTACTTTAGACAAAGAAGAGTCTGTGACATATTAAGAAACGATATTTTCAGTCTGAGCCTTGTGAAGCTATTTATGAGCTTATGTATTGTCTTTGCTGCAGCTGGTGCTCAGTAACTAACCTTCAACCAGAAGAAACTTGATTACTAAGCATGTACGAAGAACTTATTTCAATATTCATTCAATTCTATAGACGTTGAACTGACAAAAAAACATCACAGCACATTAGGCAGGTTGCAAATCATCATGAAATTTGTTTCTTTATATTTGTGTAGAGAGTAATTTTAGGGCCATCAAATACTGTAATTAATAATTACATTTGATCATATTTGTTGTTTTGTTTTTGCAGATGAACGCGAAATTGAGACGAAAGCTTTGCAAACATTTGAATTAAATTATAAGTTAATTGTCGAGCAACAAAAACAACAACAACAAAAGAAAGTCAGGAAACTCAAAGTAAGCCTGATGGAAGCTGTTTCACAGGAAGAAGGAGTCAGATTTAACTGGTTACTCAGTGGAGATCACAAGCCAGAATAGCATGTAAATTTCACAGTATCATTTTCCTCCTCTGCAGAAGCAACTGCAAAGAATTTCAAACTGTGTTGGGACTTGCATCACATTGGTTTAGATGATGAAATAAATGCTTCGTTTCCAGCATCAGCAGATCCGCAAATCACAAATTCAACTTGTTCTGCTTGGATGAAAATAAGAAACATTGGTTTTTTGTGTTTTTTTAAACAAGAAAGAGCTTGTTTTCTTGTCTTCATTCCCCCACTCATCCTTCTGGTCCTCTATCACCATAAAACTGGAAGACCGGGTTACCAGAGGTCCCTTTGGGGCCCTAAAATCACCTCTTTAACCCCCCATCTTTCATCGGCAGGCCTTATTTATCTCATTCACTAAAATTCTCACCATGTCAGTCTTAATGTTTTCCCTACCAGGCTGTGTGTGTGTGTGTGTGTGTGTGTGTGTGTGTGTGTGTGTGTGTGTGTGTGTGAATATATGTATGCATGTGTGTGGAGGAGAAGCGGACTCAAATCCCTCTTGGAGCCTCACAGAGAGGCAAACGAGGGTGAGAAAGAAAGGATGTGTGTGTGTGCGTGGGGGGGGGGTTGACGCCCACAGGGTCCACGCGGTGGCGTGCGGCAGTTTAGCACGGGGTCAAATGTGTACACGTACCCCTACATTCATGCAGCTCATTAAGCTGTGTGGAGCCAGAGCGAGGGAGAGAGGGGGAGAAATAATATAGGGAGAGAGAGAGAGGGAGCATATGGCCCAGCTCTGTGTGGGAGGTGAAGGACAGGAATGGGGGATATATATTGTATAGAAGTGCATTTGCAATCTGAGACATGGTGTCATAATCAGTGCAAAACAAACATTGTGTTTCTGTAGGGATAAGTTGCAGAATGACAATAATCATCTCAGAAGTTGAGAAAAGTTTTCACCTATAACAGAAACCCAGAGAAACAAACACAAATTCATCTTTATATGTATATTATTTTGTAATATATTATGGTAATTTATTGTAATCAGGAGCCTTTTTCCTGCAATGTCTAAAAATCTGAGCACCAGTCAAGAAAAATGAAAATAATGTTCCCCGCCACGTCGGCAAGCATCCTCAAATTTCGTGCCATTCCCAAGCCCCAGATGGTGTGGGATGGGAAACGTTCCCCCATTAAATTCCTAATAATCATTTCTCCTGCGGAATCGGGGGTGGTGGCAGTGGGGATGGAGGAGGGTGGGGTGCGAGTGTGGCTGTGGCTGTGTGTGTGTGTGTGTGTGTGTGGCTGGGAAGTGAGGATTGGGTTGGTGGGTGAGGGGAGTAGAGGGATTTGGTGTTTTAATTAGACAGATTTAAGGAGCTGAACCCCCCTCTCAAAGTGTGTGTGGTGTGTGTCTGTGTGTGTGTGTGTGTGTGTGTGTGTGTGTGTGTGTGTGTGTGAAGAGACTCACTCAGATTCATTTGTGCTTATATTTCTGAGTGTGGGTGCAAGTGTGAGAAAATTACACCAATGAGTAATGTGTGTGTGTGTAGATATGTGTGTGTGTGTGTGTGTGTGTGTGTGTGTGTGTGTGTGTGTGTGTGTGTGTGTGTGTGTGTGTGTGTGTGTGTGTGTGTGTGTGTGTGTGTGTGTGTGTTGGAGGTCACGGCAGGGCTGATGCTGCAGCAGAGGAGGCCTGACACTCCAGTACTATGGGCCAGGATCTCATTAACGTGTCAGATTGGTGGATCAGTCTCTCTGGCAGCCGGCCCGGCCTCTCACAGGAAGTACTTTCTCTCTATCTGTGAACTTGGCACTGAAAGGTTAGACAGGGTGGGTGGGAGGGAGACGAGGGGAATATGTTGGCCTGAAGGAGAGAGGAGAAGCATTAATTATAATATTTGGTCAGATTGGATAAATATTGAGTGTAGGATCGTGGTTTAAGAGCTGCTTTTATCCGTTGGGGTGTGGAAACTAATGAGTTTTGAATAGTAGCGCTAAGAGTGAGACAGACGGACTCCTGCAGTTGCACTATTTTGGAGGTGGAGATATGCTAAGTATGTGACAGGAGCATCTGTCACTACATCACCTTTGTGCTTTGTGCTCTTTGTCTAGGGGTACCCTGACTGGGTGTATGCATATTGTGTGTAGCTACAATATGAGAGAGAGAGTATAGGACGGGTTCTGGAGCAGGTGGGAAGCATACAGGGGTGTGATCCTCTGACACCCCAGCAACACCCTATTTCAGGGTAGACTGAGAGACACTGGTGCTACTGGGTGAAGTGGTTTCAATTCCCTCGACTGTGAACATGAGCATCTGGTCGTCACATGACTGCACTGTAGAGATAGATAGATAGATAGATAGATAGATAGATAGATAGATAGATAGATAGATAGATAGATAGATAGATAGATAGATAGATAGATAGATAGATAGATAGATAGATAGATAGATAGATACAAAGACATTTAGCACATTTAGGTTGCTTTCACAGCTTAGTGAGCAATACAGTGCTACCTTAATAGATAAATTGATGCAAGATAGATGGCTAGCTGGTCATTTTTTATAAGCTAAATTTCATGGCAGGAATTTAACTTTAATTTTAAATCCACAAGATCTAGAAACTCTATAGACTTCGCCTTTTATTGCTGTAGATTAAAAAAACAGCTTTCACAGTATAGTGAATGGTAGGGTTTTAAGAACATATTGAATGTGAAAAACTTGCCTTTTTATTGATGTAGATTTAATAAACAAGTGACTTTCACAGTTTAATGAGCAATTAAAGCTTCAGCGTGTAACATTTAGGAGGCTCTATTGCCAGAATTGGAATATAACATTCACAGGTATGTTTTAATCAGTGTATAATCACCTAAATATAAGAATCATGTTTTCATTACCTTCAAATGAGCTGTGTTTATCTAAAGAAA